TAGAGTGCCATAAAGTCACAGCTCATAGCAACCTCAAACTCTTGGGCTTAAGTGATTCTCTTGCCTCAGCCGCCCAAGTAGCTAGGACTCCAGGTGCCTGCCACAACGCCTGGCTATTTTCTGTTGCAGTTGTCATTGTTGTTTAGCTGGCCCAGCCAGGTTCAAACCCCCCACCCTCAGTGTATATAGTTGGTGCCATAACCACTGTGCTATGGGCGCCGAGCCAAAAATTAATTCTTCAGAAAAAAAATTTCCAAGATAGACACAGCTAATATTCTCATTAAAGAACATGAATTAACACCAAAATTTAAATTCTGGTTAGGCTATTTTAATATTTATAGCAATGGCTCTCAACCTTCCAAATGCTGTGACCCTTTAATACAGCTCCTCATGTTGTGGTGACGCCCAACCATAAAATTATTTTCATGGCTACTTCATAACTGTAATTTTGCTACTGTTATGAATTGTAACATAAATATCTATGGTCTTAGGTGACCCCTGTGAAAGGGTCATTCAACCCCCAAAGGGGTCGCAATGCTCAGGTTGAGAACCACTGATTTACGGAATCAATATGAAGACTATTTTGGTCCTCACTGATCCAACAGGTCTAGATGAACCCTGCTGCAGCCTCTGCCACTCTGTAACCTCTGTTCTCACTGAATCTTGCTCTTCCTAAACAGGACTAATCACATGCCTGGATAAAGGAAAGAGCCCCAGAATGTGAAGAGAACCGAGACAGTAGCCATACACCCAACTATGTCTCCTCCTTACATCCTAGGCCTTTTTCCAGAGCAAGGCATGAAAAATTCATTCCAATAAGCAATACTGGGAAGCTATGAAAGCTGTTGCCTTGAGAATTTACACTTAGGGAAAGACTGGGGGAGGGTGGGCAAGGGTGAGAGGCACAGAGAATATTATAATGAACTTAACCAATGCTCGAGAACTACCTATAGCAAAAACTTCAGATTTAACATATGTGAGAAAGTCTTTAGTAAATGACCAAATCTACTCAGTCATAAGATAAGGCATACTGGAGAACAACCTTTCCAATGTAAAAAATGTGGTAAAGCCTTTAACTGGTGCTCACACCTTCTGAACATGAGAGAATTCATACTGAAGAGAAACTCTACAAATGTGAAGAATGTGGCAAAGCCTTTAAGTCTTGTCCACATCTTTCACTACATGAGAAAATTCATACCAGAAAGAATCCCTAAATGTGAAGAATGTGGCAAAGCTTTTATTTATTTATTTAAATTTTTTTTTAGACAGAGTCTGAAGCTCTCACCTTGGGTAGAGTACCATAGCATCATAGCTTGCAGCAACCTCCAACTTGGGCTTAAGCAATCTTCTTGCCTCAGTTTTTCTATTTTTAGTAGAGACAGGGTCTTGTTTTTGCTCAGGCTGATCTCAAACTCATGAGCTCAAGTAATCCACCCACCCTGTTCTCCCAGAGTGCTAGGATTACAGGTATGAGCCACTGCGTCTGGTGTGGCAAAGCCTTTAATCAGTGCTTACTTCTTACTCGACATTAGAGAATTCATCCTGGACAATATCATCTACATTTTCTGACTGTGGAAAGATCTTTCTTAAAATATACGCTGTACGGCTCAGCACCTGTGGCTCAAGTGGCTAAGGCACCAGCCACATACACCTAAGGTGGTGGGTTGGAATCCAGCCCGGCCCACCAAACAACAATGACAGCTGCAACCAAAAAATGGCTGGGGATTGTGGCGGGCGCCTGTGGTCCCAGCTACTTGGGAGGCTGAGGCAGGAGACTCGCTTGAGCCCAGGAGTTGGAGGTTGCTGTGAGCTGTGATG